AAAGCACAGGAGCTAAACAGAAGAGGAGAAATGATAGTATTGCATTTAATCAGAAAGAGTTGTGTATTTGTAGTTAAAATGAATGTTTTAATACATCTTTTTGCTTGCATAACTAAAAGATTTGGTTCTACCTTCGCTTAGTTAAGAAAGATTTAATTACATCTGTATGTAGTTACAAACTCACAGAAAATCATAGCACATACATATATATAATATTTTCAGGAAGCCTACTGGTTAAATTGAGTCTGTTCAAAAGGCAGTGCCACGTGTAAAAATTGAGATCAGTGTTTTGATATGCATCAGTTATGCCTTATAGACTGTAATCTTAAACTGTCTGATGCCTTTATCGTTCTCTCTTCTACAAGGAATGGGAAATCATTCTCTAGTCTTAATTTTTAACATGTTTTGGTAGTGAGACCAAGACTAGCAGTCACTAACAGCAGCCAATCTCAGGGGAAAAAGGTTTTGATTAATTGACTTCAACACTATAAAGAATAATTAATCTTTTTTTGTGGGTATTAATAGAGTACTTAGCACCCACTCCTGCATGTGCAGTATCCTCTCATTTTATTAAATTTCGTGTTTTCTTCTTATCTAATGCATTTTGGTATGTTTGTATTGGTTCAAGTTCTGTATTTTGTTGATGTAAAGAACTTGTGCATGAGAAATCGTTTTAAATCATCTGCATGATTGCATCAGACATCACTGTGCCATAGCCCGGGGGTCATATGTAATCTGTCAGGATAATTCATCCAGACTGCATTCGAAGGCGCCTGCAGAAGAGATGAATAGTTCTCCTGATGACAGCAGTCTGCTTTCCTCTACTAGCTCCTTAGGAGGCCACACGTGCTTCTAACACACGTTTTGGTGAAGAGCCGAGCTTATTCATGTTTGCTGTGAACGTGGTCTTCAGGACACATGAAATTCAATGCACATCTGCAGATCTTCCAGCTAATGTCAGGTGTAACTTGTATGTGCAAGTCATCTGGTGCTTCTGTGAAGAGCTTGACCAATTCTGCGTGTGCAGTGGATCTGTGGTGTGACAGAGAGGACTGGAAGAAAGCAAGAGACTCCTTCAGCTGTGTACTGACAACAGAAGTTGTCAGCCCATTCAGGAAAAATTGATTTCTGGAATTGAATTGTGTCTCTTCTTTGTGTTCCACTCATGCACACAGATTAACTGAAGGAAAAGGTTTTGTGGCACTAAATTAAGGAATTCCAAATGAATGAAGTAGCCAAAGCTCCCATATATGTGGCTGTAGTGCAAAGAACTGTACTTTCTCTTGGGGAAAATGCTTGCAGATTGCTCCCCTGATACAGGATGTGTGTGTCTCTGGGGTTGATCAGTGGTCTTTATACAACTTTGGCAGAAGCACCACTTAGATAGAGAACTACACTTTTATAGTAAGAATAAAATAAAATGAGGTTTCATTATTCTGCAAGTTTCACTGGAAGTGTGATTTTTAGAAACTTCCAAACAGCTCTGGAATGATGCTGCTGCCCTTGGCAGACTGTATATTGCATGCTGGACATGCAGTGGTAATCTTTAAATTCTTCAGGCTTGAAACATCTGACACTTGTGCTATTGCTAACCTAAATGAAACATGCAACAAAATGAGATTGAAAATGCCCAGTCAGAATGAGCCTACTTTTGAAAATTGGCTTTGTGGTAAGTTGATGGTGGAGATGCAGTTCAGCACAACTTGTTTTCCTTTCTGTTCCTTTCTAGTATGATTTGACAGCAGGTTCTTTAAAATGGAGAGATTAGAGGAGTATTTTTCCTCGCATGTTTTCAAGAAAGCTCAAGATTTGAGATTTGCATTTCCATTAAATTGTGTGAGACAGATTAGTAAGTTTTCCTATCTAGCCACTGGGAACATGACTGATTGTTCCAAGCTATGGGGGAAAATTTGACATTTTTAGTGGCATGTCTTTGAAAGACAAGTCTCAGTGTCTTTTATTTTATTTGCATTTTATCACCTAGATGCCTAAGAGTGTTTTTGAAGTTCTTCTGCTATTCTTATCAGAAAGGTGTGCCCTGATCATCACACAAACGCAGTGCCAGTATTGTTTCCTGCTTGAGACAGCTGAACTACTGAAGAGGATAGTTTAAATGCATGTTAGGCATGATCTTTTCTACTTTTAACGAGAGAAATTAACAGTTTAAGTACAGTTTGGGTCAAAGAGAGACCCGAGCTCTCCTTTGTCTTTGACTTCCAGCAGTATAGACTTAAGATGCAAAAGTGTGGGAAGGGATCAAAGATATGTAACCACGTGCATTACTGATATCCCTGGTTGTAAGAAATAGCATTTCTGTAGTTACTACATTGCAATAACAGGCCCCTTGAAATGAGAATTACTGAACTACCAAGAACTCTAGGTCACGCAAGCATTTTCATTTTCCTTAAAATGTTCACACAACAACATATCTGCCCGTACAGGTGAAAGCTGCTATGATTTCATGTTCAACAGGCCACTGTATTAGTGTATCTGCATAATATTTTCAATCTGTAAATAAGTAAACAGTTGTTCACCCCTGTCACAAGATAGAACAAGCACAGAACTGGTGCTTGTTTTTATTCAGCATATAACCTAATACTGATTGCTGTTTATGTTGAAAATTAATTTTATATTTCTGTAATACAAAGAGTTTTGAAATACAAGCCACAGGTATCATCAAAAATAAAGACCTAGTATATATTTGTTGATTTTATTGTTGTTAATATAATAAATTCCACCTATTTTGTAATGTGTGAGTACTTACTTGCGAAAAGCCAGTTTACTCGCAAAGGAATCAGTATTTTTCTTGATTGTTAAGCATATTGGGACTAATAAGGAATCTGACATTTAAATGTTTACTAACTAATAAACCAAGGCTATGCAGGTTTTGAATGATAAACCTTTCACTTACTCTTAGGTTTATAACGTGCCTTTGGAAAGAAACCAGGATTTAAATTATACACAAAACATGCGGTTTAACTTACTTCTTTGTAACATTGGACAATTGTCTCACATATTAGAACAAGAGTAACTTAGGAAGGTAATTTATTGGCTGTCACCTAAATGGAAATAACATTTGTCATGGGATGGAACAAGGTATTTTAAGGCAAATTGCTAAAATTGGATGAAAAAAACCACGGCTAAACAACAGCTTTACAAATAGAAGTTTTCTTTTTTACGAAAGCAGATATTCCAAAAGAAAATGTATCATTTTGATTTAAGACTGTTAGCAAGAAAAAAGCTGCAGTTTGCATCTGTTTGTGATCCTGTATATACCAGCAGCACGTTAGCTTTTAGAACATGTAGCTGTGTTTCAGTGTGATCAGATTATAAAGAGAGTAAGTTTTGTTACTGGAAATGAGGTGCTTTTGCAAACAGATTAATCTGACCTAGTTAAGTACCACAGTTTATTTTTCCCATGCCACTTCAGTGCATTGGACTTACTTTTCCATTCAGTCTTGTATGAAATACACTTAAGAATTTTGAAATGTAGTTAAAATTCTTAAATGTGTACAATTTTTGTCCCTAAAGCTTAGTTTACCTTTTCACGTTTAGCAGAGGAACTATACATTTTAGTGTGTAATATGAAACACTTTCAGACCGTCACTTTTAGCTGTCAAAACAAACATCAGTCAATATAAATGTTTTTGGTAATTTTGAGTTTCTGGAGTGTGAAATCTTGACATAATGTTAAATCTGTTGTAATCATTTGGTAGGAAGTGTATACACAGGCGTGAATTTTGAAGGGTAAGATGGACCTACAGATAATAAATGTGTTTGGAGTGGTGTCGAAGACAATTTTTAGCAGCATATCTAATCTGATTCTAGTGTTTGCTATTTTTGCTTACATTACTTTGTTTGAGATCCTGAAAGGTCCTGTTTGCTTTTAGGATAATGTGTAGACATCTCTCTCAGAAGATCTATGGACCTTCTAGTGATAATGCTATTCCTGGCCTACTCGTTTCATGGGACTAAAGTCAATAAGTAGGGTTTTTAACCTCCAGTGCTAACAAAAGTATATCAGAGATGTTATGAGGCTTTCTTTGTGGAGATTATGTTATTTCTGGTGTTAATTTTGCTGGTTAGGTCCTTGTGCTCAGGAATACTTTGTTTCATCTTGATACAGTAATCTATAAGAGCCATTGAGGGTGGATGTTACTTAAGAACGTTCTTATTTCCAAAACAACACACAAACTTGTATGCTTGTTGTACCACATACTGGGTGAATTACATATCTAGCTGTTGAGTAAATAGATTTTTCAGTTTGCTGTTTATAATTTGATTTTGAAAATGCACTATATGTGCTATTTTTTCCCACTTGTTAGTAGTATTACTACTTTAGTATTGCTACTGCTGTTTAAAATTAATACTCAAATGTTAGGTAGAGGGCCCCATGTTGGAGTTACAATTTAATTTGTTGTAGACAAATTGAGCATGTTCTCTAAAGAGATGGAATTATAGCATTAAAATTTTGGTACAGTAGAAAACAATGCACTAGCAGTTTGGTGATGGTCAGACATGGTGGTTATTTTCAGTAGAGTATTTGCTGTCCATTGTCTTTTCACTTCTGTACTTTCTTACTGTGTTGTGAGTACAGTAACAACAGTAAAACTGATGTGCTTTTGCTTTAGCGGTGGGTTTCTCTCTCCTTTTCAGGACCTGTTTTCTTCTGTGCATAGGTGTTGAGGGAATGTGAAAGGACTGTCTGTCTCTGCAATTTTTTAAGTCATTATGAGGGAATTTCTATGTCACTGAGGATAGCAGCTCTCTGGTCACCTATGGTGAGAAGTTAAACATTAGGCAGCAGTACTTGAATGGTATTTTCTCACAAGCACTATTTCATCTGCATGTGACTTTGCTTGGAGTTTTCTTGCAACGTGATCAGGAAAGTTAAAAAAAATAACAGAATTCATACCACTGCTAAAAACTAGAAAGACTAAAACACTAGTGAAGCTTTGGAGATGAATGTGCGTATCTGATTTATTTTTGTTCTTTTGTAGGTGATGGATGTGGACACACCGTTCTGGGCCCTGAAAGTGGGACTCTTGCTTCGATAAACTACCCACAGACCTCTCCCAATAGCACAGTGTGTGAATGGGAAATTCGTGTAAAGCCTGGGCAGCGAGTTCAGCTCAAATTTGGTGATTTTGATATTGATGACTCAGATTCCTGTCATTCCAGTTACTTAAGAGTTCACAATGGAATTGGCCCCACCAGGACAGAGATAGGTAGGAGCTTTTATTACTGCTATTTGAAAGCTACTGTCTTATATAGAATTTAGAAGATACTGTTGGTACTTTTGTTACTTTTAAAATTTCTCCTTGTTTGCCTGCACTACTAAGTATATGCTATTAGTGAAATTCTTTCTTATAGCCCTAGAAAACTTATAATTTAGTTGGATATTGGGCAGGGTAAGACCTTGCCTGAATATATCACACTCTACTTTGTACACTGTGGGCTTTGAGTCTTACGAGAAGTGATGAAAAGAAGGAAGTGTTTATTACTTACAGGAATCTCATACAAGGAACAGAAAGGAATTCTAGTAATGCTGTAATCGCAGTTGTGTTTTTCCTGAGCTTCATATCAAGGAAACCCTGCAAAACTTTGAGGAGTGCTGCGTGTACCTCACTGCAGTAGAAAAACAGCCATCAGGGACCAGTTTTAGTAAATACACTTCTGATAGTATTGCTAGGAAGCACAGCTAAGGAAAGACTCTTCTGTATGCACTACCAGTCTTCAGTACAGGGAGGGAACACAGGTGCAACTGCAACTATAGAAATATAAAAGTGGTAAAGAAAACAGTAGTGTGATTGTCTCTTTCTCTGGTAATGTGCTCATTTCAAGTACACTTAGTGTCGTTGCTCAGCAGATGAACTCTGTTTGGAATGCCAGAGTATTCTTAATGTAATTATTCTTAATTAATTCCATTGTGTTTACTGTTATTAAAGCATATGTAAATGTCTGTCTTCTTGACACAATTCTTATATCGTAAAAATGTACGGAAAAAATTCTGAGTAATAATGATAGCAGAACATCCTGCATTTTGTTCATGCATACAACAACTAGATGCTAAATGCAACACAGATTCTATAATAATCTTTTATTCTTCAGGTTCTAAAGGAAACTCCACTGTAATGTTTTGGGTTCTATTTTCTCAGACATTCCCCGCTAGCTTGCAAACTTCTTGTAAACAGTGGAGAGGGAATTGCAAAACTATGACCATCTTCATTAAAAAAAGTAATAAAAAAATAAAATGAAAATGGTGTACATATGTCTTACCTGAAATGCCTTTCTTTTTATATGGAATAGCTCTGATTTGAGCTGTTCTTCATGGCGGTATTAAAGAATGTCAGGCTTCAAAAGTTGTGTAGTTCAAATACCCTCATCTTCGGATAAAGCCTATGGTTTAATTTGTATTCACTTTAAGAGGACAAATTGAATTTAATGACTGTAATGCAGTGTTTTGTTTTTTTTTTCAAATAGCAGTGTGACATTATCATCTATCTTAAGGTATATGTAGGTATTTAAGACCCTTGTGATTACTTTGCGTAAAACTCAAAATGAATTGTCATTCTTCCTTCACTAAAATTAGTTGTTATTGTGCAGATTAATTTTATTTTCTTTCCTAAAGCTATAATTCGGAGAGGGAGAGAAAGAGAGAGAGATTTTCTTCACCAAATTGTTTTTGTGCAGCTCAAATGCCAATCCCGCTAATTTGAGTCTTTTTATAAAGAGGCTAGTGGAATGTTAGCTTTGTTAACCCTCTTTTTCAACCTAGGTAAGTGTATGTGAAAATAAGTATGTGCCGGGAGTTGTTGAGCCAGACTTGGTCTAAAATAGGAAACACTGAAGTCCTTAAATGGCAAGGAACGTCCAGTTCTGATAAGTCTATTATTCACTTTTACAAGTGACTTAATGGGTTCGAGTAAATTTTCTACTTCATTTGTTTCTCTTGACTTTCAGCTGTTCCCAGCTGGTGTAGTAGCACAGTATGTTGAGCAAAAATGTGTGTGTTGTTCTGTTCTTAATAAATTAAATCACAGAACAGACAGTGATGTTAACAGTGGCAGATACAGATGATGCAGATTCATAAATGTTCATGTTTGAAGCAACAAACACTGGAGAGATTAAAGTGACCTGAATTTGTTTGGAAGAAATCTGGATTTATCCTAGGTTTTACCATTCAATACTGCTGGCATGGTCTAACATTAAAATACCTGCATTACATAAAATTTGAAATTCAACGATACTTTAAACCAAAATGACTTACAATTTGGCTGATTAGATTAAAAAATGAATTGTTAGCGGATTAGTTCATTGATAAAACACAGAAGGTTTCTAATGAAGCTTTTAAGGGTTAGTTCTTATTCCAAGACTTTTGAATATTGAGCAAAAAATCAAAGGAAGATTTAAATTCTTGGTGTTAAGTTTGTCTCTAGTCTAAGTAAGATCTAGAGGTGTTCTGTATTAGATTTCATCACAGTCCAGTCACTGTGCTTCTACAGTCAGAGGTAGTCATTTAATACGTATAGTGTAAGCCCAGCCCTATAGGAGTGGAGAATGTAAGCTACAGTAGGAATTCCCTCTGCTGTGGTAATGTTGCTGTACAAAAGCACGTATAGTCCTTCAATACATAAGTGCAGGCAAAATAGTAGTATTACATCTTCTGCATGTAGCATTGACAGAGGCATCGCAGCAGTCATGTTTTGTCCATTTCTAGTGCCCACTCTTTAAAAAGATTGCTAAAAATCTGACGAGGCCAGGGAAGAATTAGGAAAAGTGATTTATAGTCTCAAAAGTACGTCTTGCCGTGAATCATAAGGTGCATCAGTCTACAGTTTGTCAAAGGCCATGGTGCAAGCAGCCCTGGATAGTTTTTCCAAGCTAGATTTAAATGCCTCGCCCTGTGTATTTGCCCAAAGAAGAGGATAAATGATGTCTTGAGGACAGTCTGACCTATCCTGAGTGGAGTCTCATGCTGGTCAATCATGTAACAAGATCCAGTGGCTAAGACAGAACTTAAAAAGAAAAGTGGAAGCTGGAAAAATTATGCACTTCATCATAATGAATGCAATTAATCACTGAAGCATGACTTAGAGCAAAACATAGGGTCAGTGTGGAGCCTTGGTTAAAGAGAACTTACTTCATTGTAACATTTGCTGATAACCAGCCTAAATAGTGAATTGAGGTAAGGTTGTATTTGTATAATGTTATAAATTTCATCAATGTTGTAAAATCTATTTTCTTTTTTTATTAGAAAATAACCTTGCTTTATTCAAAAATATCTCAATAAGGAACATTTAGAAAGCTCTGAATAATGATGGGAATTTTGTATTTCTAATTTTTTTATTATTTTACTAATATTTGAGAGTGCAGTTAACTTTTTAAAGGAATTTGACATACACTTTTTATTTGTTTGTGTTATATTTGTTTTGTATTCTATTTGTTAAGAACTGCAGGGCAATGTTATGTCACTTCCTTTAGTTGATATGGGAGTCTGGCTTCTTTTTTTTTTTCTATTTTACAATATGATAACATACTATTCTGCCACTTTACTCTGCTCTGGTGAGACCTCACCTGGAGTATTGTGTGCAGGTCTGGAGCCCTCAATACAAGAAGGACATGGACCTGATGGAGAGGGTCCAGAGGAGGGCCACAAGGATGATCAAGGGGATGGAGCACCTCTGCTACAAGGACAGGCTGAAGGAACTGGGGTTGTTCAGCCTGGAGAAGAGGAGGCTCCGGGGAGACCTAATAGCAGCCTTCCAGTACCTGAAGGGAGCCTACAGGAAGGCTGGGGAGAACCTGTTTAGAAAGGCCTGTAGTGACAGGACGAGGGGAAATGGCTTCAAGCTGGAGGGGAACAGATTTAGATTGGAGATTAGAAGGGGGTTCTTTACTGTGAGGGTAGTGGAGCACTGGAACAGGTTGCCCAGGGAGGTGGTTGAGGCCCCTTCCCTGGAGATATTCAAGGAGAGGCTCGACGAGGCCCTGGGCAACCTGGTCTAGTTGGGGGTGTCCCTGCTGACTGCGGGGAGGTCGGACTAGATGACCTTTGGAGGTCCCTTCCGGCCTGGGAAATTCTATGATTCTATGATTCTATCAAGAATCCAATTAAATGAATGGTAAAATGAAACACATGCAATGCCATTTGCTGCTGATGGTTATCCAATTTGATTATCCGCTGCAGAATCTTAAATAGGGTTATAGATGGTTTACAACACTGAATGATCAAGGGAGCCTATATAAGAGAAGATTATTTTTTTCTTTTTTCCTTAGCAGGTTAATAAACTGATCAGTATTTTATTAAAGTTTCTAGTTAGTAGGACTGGGGAATTCCATATTGACTTGGGTCTGTTTAACAGCCATTCCTCTAGGTAATGCCATTTGGTAGTAATTCTAGGACTTCATAGGGCAAATATTGTCAGTGTCTGCAGTCTCCAGCACCTCAGTTTAAAACGTGTTACTTTTGGTCATTTCGGATGGCAAGAGGAGTACCCAGATCCAGAACCTCTGGTCAGTTACATAGATGCAGCAAACCAGACAGTGAACCAGCTGGTAGCTTCTATGAATGGTACTGCCATATGCTTCTAAGTGCAGTGAATCATGCCTCCTGTTGTCCAAAATTTAGAAAAGTAGTTGACAGAAACCATGAAATAGTCAACACGGAAGAAGTACCCCAACAGATGAGGGAAGAGAAGGGTTTTTTTTCTCTCATTTGCTTCTGTAGGTGATTCTCATTGCCCTAACTTGATCCTTTTCCTTGACAGATTTCTCGTGGTCTTTGGAGAACTGAGTGTGAGGGTTATGCGTGGCCAGAGGTGAATGGGATATGGTCACATTTATTTACAAGTGTTAAGGGTATGAGATACTCTCACCTGTTGACAGGGGCAGAATAAATGTGGTACCCATACTCTGCCATTTGCTTTAAATGGACACTGGCTACATTATTTAGTGTCATGCACGTGTATTGGTTTTGAGTGTACGCCAGGAGTAATGTGAGAGTACACTGCAAATGAAAAAAGATGCTTATTACGTACGTTGGGTTTGGTCTATGTCTGTTCTCCCTCTTTTCTCCATAGGAAAATACTGTGGGTTTGGCTTTCAAATGGATGGTTTAATTACTTCAAAAAGTAATGAAGTCACAGTACAGTTCATGAGTGGAACACACACTTCTGGACGTGGATTTCTTGCAGCTTATTCAACCACTGACAAATCAGGTATTTATAATTTTTTGGAAATTTTTCTGTACTGGTCAAATTAGAGCTCCCTAGTGAAAACACAGAACTAATGTATTTATTCCCATATTCTCATAAACTGACTTCTAAAAATGAAGACTTTTAATACAGTCTTCCTGATACTTCTGCATAGGAAATTGGATTGTTCAGTGACTACTTAGTTTGCTGTAGTTTTAAAGAAATTATATGAAAGCTTAACCTTGATAGCAAGGCAATAATCAATTGCAGTTATCTCTTATTCTCAGTTATCTGTTATGAATGAAAGAGTTACTTTGGACAAAGGATGAAATGCATTTTCTCAGGTAGTAATCATGGTGGCGGATAACAAAAAAAATCTTGGTGAACTGTATATATTTTATGCAGACCAACCTTGTGGAAAATTTTATTTCAGTAACAGTTTCCTATACTGCCTCAACTCTTCAATTATATAATCTGCTGACTACTTTTTAGAGTTTTTGCCATTTCTTGTTTGCTCCATGTTTTTGGCTATTCTAGCCTCTAAAGGAGGCTGCTATATTTGTTTTGCATCTCCATCCGCTCATTGTAACAGTGAGTGACAAACATGGGTCCACAAGGAAATGAAGGATTGCCAGCAACTGCTTCACAAGGCAAAAGGCTTGAGAAAACCCTTTCTAGAAGTAATTCTAAAATAAAGTTTTCATTTTTAATTTGCATTTTGTAGGTTTCCTGACGGATTTCTGTCTGTATTTTGCACTGTATGTACTGATACACAGCAGACTGAACATAAAATTTGAGATATCCGTCATGGATGCCAGTAACATGCCGCTCTAAAGTTTGCTCACTGTGCTGCCTGGTTTCAGTACTGTAGGACTGTTTAATGCTGAAAACACAGGCTTGTTTAGCTAACTTATTAATTTAATGTTGTGAAAAGCACATATGTTTGTGTCTCTGAATTATATCAGGTTCTCTGAAGTATAGCTGTAAATTAAACTTAAGTTGCACAAAAAATGAATGTTTGTAGTGTGTCCCTTCTTTTCTATGTCACATTCTCAGTGGATTTCCCAGTTACTCAGACAAATTATCAGGGTTCTACTGTAATACAAAATCCGTTGCAAGAAAATTTAGTGGGAATGTGTTTTTTCATTCTGAGACTTTTGGTTAAGCCACAGAGGCTCAAATACATATTTTTGTGCACTTTAAAAAACTTTCTCAAACTTGTCTTTATCATCCTCTTGACCTAGTACTTTTTCTTTCCAGACCTAATTACCTGTTTAGACAATGCAAGTCACTTTTCCGAACCAGAATTCAAGTAAGACTGATTTTATCTGTTTCCCCCCAATCTCTTTAATGAAGTCATTTTAGTATTTCTGCTTCACTTTGTTACTTATACCTGATGCAGCTTGAAAATTGGCTGTCCAGAGAACACAGGAAACAAACTAACTAGGATTAGAGATGAATAATTTTGACATTTTGCAGTCCTCCTCCTTCTCTCTCTTTCTCTCCCATTTTTGTTATTTTCATGCAGTATACAGTAGAACCTCGTTAATTTGCACTAACACATAGGAGCTAATATCTCATTCCCATGGAAAGAATATTACCTTTATAATCATATTGCAGCAGGTATATTCCTTAAATACTGAAATTCATATTACAGTTATCTAAGGAGCACTAATACTATGAAATATATTAAAAATTATGAACCAATTTCACAGTTTGGTATGAATTACGGAGACATAAAATTCTGGACCTTCTGATGGGGGAAACATAAATCATTTCCCTGTTTTCTCCTTCTCCGTTTCCATCTGAAGCTGCAGACTATTGTGAAGTACATAAACTTACCTTTTAGAGTGCTTCAGCCTTGGCATTGTAAAGTGTTTCAAAGTGCAACCTCTGCATTTTCATGGTACCTGCAAAGTTGCTTCAACTGTTGTTGAACTGCAGTGAAAATGTTAATAATTTACTATTCCTGGAGATTTAATAGTTCTTATATGTGCACTGTGAAATGGCACTAGAACATGAACATGGGCATGCATCAAAGGTGAAGATGTCTTCCCTATTGCTTTTCATGAGCTCATGGCATTAACTAAATTTGGCTGGTTTTTTTATGATCAAAGTATTGCAAGGAGGTATTATTATAAAATAACATTACCTTTCAGATGTATTATTTAAGTATGCAAACAGATAGATGTGCAAATCTCAAATTCATAAAATAAAATTCATTAATATTGGTATTTATATGAATTTCAATTTACAGAAACCATGCAGTATTTATATTACAAAATGCTGGCTCTAATTATTTATTATATGGAGACTGGAACTGTATTTTCAGCTGAGACTTTTAAAAAACTTTTTCAGATGTCTGTTCTCCTCTTATGTATTTCTCTTCCTGAGTATTTTTTTGTCTGATTTGATATGTCTTCAATTATGATATATCCTTAAATAAGGTGATATATGAATAATAACAGTGTATTGTAAATCAAAAACCTAGTGACTATTTTATAACATTGGAAGAGTTGTAGTTACATGCATATCTTGACTTGATATTTTGTTCTCTTCCAGTAAGTATTGTCCAGCTGGCTGTGTGATTCCTTTTGCTGATATTTCAGGCACTATTCCCCATGGATACAGAGATGTAAGTAAAAATACCACAGTCTTGCTTGAATTTTGGTAAAACACACACTGAATAATTAAAAATCATTTACAGTTGTACACATTAATTCTGCTGCCTGGGTTCTGGAATCTGTACCTCCTAAAGCGAATACCATGCAAAATTTTTTTGCACAGCTTCTAAATGACTGGTGCTTCAGATGTTGCCATCTCCAAGAAGTGAAGAAATGTAGTAGAGACTCAAAACATCTTTGTAAGGTCTGCTGAGAAGGGTAGATCAATCAAAATACTGTTATATACTTCCTGTTTTGTTTTTGTTGGCTTTCTCAAGTTTGGAAATACAGATTTATAAAGAGAGAACCAATTCTTTTAATGGTGTTTTTGACACTGTAATACTCTTATAATAATATTCTTAGTTGCAGTAGTTTTCTTAATTTTTTATTACAACATGAGAGACTAAATACTATTTGTGCTCAGCAGCTAGAAAAACATTTGCTAAACAGTTAATACTGCAACATTAATAATCCTATAAACTGGAAATTAATATTTACTTAGAACACTACCAAAACCTATAAAGAGTTTTTCAGATGTAAGCTTTTGAAACTGAATTAGCATAGCTGCTATAGGACCGGAGAGTGTTTGCTTTCTTTGTTTTTAAATTATTATAATTTTGCTAGCAATCTAATAAAAACCTACATTAAATCTCTTTATTTATCTTAAAATGCTCTTTTTAATAAGCCATTAGATCTAGCACAGAAGAAAGATAAATTTAAAACATTAGTAAGTAAAGATTTTAATACTCAGTATGAACCTGAAGTGTGCCTCTCTGATTTTTCTTAAATACCTGTAAATCCTAGGCTACCTACTTAAATAATTACCCATATGTAAAAATGTCACCACAGCATAACTGTGTTATATCTTCCGGTCCACAGAGAGTCCTCACTAAACACCTGTGAGGTAATTTTTGTAGCTAGTAACAAAATGAAGTTGATTGTCTGCCTAATGTATTTACAACATTTGTAGGAGTTCTGCTTGTGCGCAGTTTTTTGCTAAAATCTAGAAAAACTGTCTTCTATGGAGAAAAAAGGAAACTTTAGAAATTAATGCTCTGTGACTTTGTATACTTTATTGCTCTGAAGGCAGAGAATTTCCCAGAAGTCAAGTTAGGTGGAACAAAATCAAATTGTCCAGGACTTTAGGTGGAGATTTCTCATGCATCTCTTTCAAATGATCAGCAGCTGCTTGCTGCTTTAAGGTGTAACTTGTGTTTCCTTTGCCTGTCACCCTAATGTCCTCAGTCCTCAAGGACTTGGAGCACTCATTGCTCACATCTGGTGAGCAGGGAGGAGAGTGCTGCACCTATTGCAGAATCCCATCTTTTGAGGGAAAATAGGAAAGGAAAAGGGGAAGCTGTGTGCATGAGCAAGACATAATTACAGTTATTTAGAAAGTTGTTGGGATATTTGGGGGGTGGGTAATAGGGTTAGAGTTCTTATGTGTGAAAATACTGAGGAGAACTATGTTCAGAAAAGTCTTGGTGAGCAGGTATTTTTGCCAGTGAGCTTGAGATACAGGGGCATCCTGGCCTGCTGCACCATGCGAGTATTTCTAAAGAAGCCACAATGGAGAAAGTTGTTCTGTTTCTAAAATAATGTGAGAGAGAAAATAATCCATTGAGTTTTCCTTCTCTGGAAGGGACCTGTTGATTCCTTCTTAAAGAATTGTGGTGAGGCTCTGTAGCACCCAGTGGACTGATAGGGAGAGCAGTGTGGCCAATGTGCAACACGTAGCAAAGCACTTTGGGGGAGCAACTGTTAACAGTAAATAAAAATCTGCAGTCATCATCTGTTGTTTATTGATTTGCAAGCCTGCACCTGGATACCACACTAGTAATAGCAACCTAAATATGGTTTCTGGACGTTGTACTGGGGAGATACCCAGATGGTCCTTCACAAACAGCTTGGACCCCATTGATCTTCTCAAATTCGGGTTGATCCCACTCTCATTGAATGTGAGCACAGGGCTGCAGAATTGCAGTGTGTCTGTGCACACCCCAGTGCTGTACACTGCAGGAAAGGCTGGGAATAGCTGTGTAAATGCCTGTTGCACGGTGAGGAGCCAGAAATCCTCCAGGAACCTTGGTGCACGCAGTGGATGGGTGCAAAGCCACGGCTGCTAAGCCTTTTTTGGAACTGGCCTGTCTGTTCGCTCCTGAGTGCTAGGATGTTTCTTGGTCAAGCCCTTTTGGCTTGAAAGGGTTTCCTTCCCAGCTGGAGAAGAACTCCTGGGCTAGTTTTGTGCCAGGAGACAGCGGCATCTTGCTCTGCTCACTCTGTGCTGTGCTTGAAGGACTTGGTGTAGTGAGTCAGCCCTGCTGTCTGTGGCACAGCTGGCCTGCAAGCCAGGGAACTGGAAGTGTCACTGGCACTGCAGATCTGGGCAAGTAGTTGTCCAGGCAGAGAAGTAAGGAACAGGATGCCCTGCAAAAACTTTTTGCATAACTAATCTCCATTGACCTGTACAATCTAGGTAGTCGGCTTCTCCAGAACAAATTCACATATTACTGTGCATTTATATGGATCAGATTGCTGGATGATTAAACCATGTTAAAATAAAAAATATAACCCATCAGCTAACTAAGTTACAAAATCTGCAGTGCATCACTCCTAAATTGTGAGAAAAGGAATAAACATACTTTCAGTGAGATTTCTGTTAATAGGTTTTCTATGTGTTTATGTATTCAACTTCTGTTGTCTTGCATAGTAGATGTATTGTAGCCTGAAAGTCTGGCTGCTTGGCTTTTTCAGACTAATTCACCTTGCTGTTTGTTTGAGCTTTTTTGATTACAAGGGTTACATTCCAAATACATCTGGGCAAGGATGCAGTGAAATGTAGGAGCTTCTTTTTGTGTTTTTATAAATTCTGTAATAAACCAAAGATGAATGGTTTCTTAGTAACAGAGATAACAGTTAAATAAGAACAGTTTCTTAATGTAATAATATTAAAGACTGTAACTTAACACTATAGCCTCTACAATATACAGTGTCTTATTTAGTTTATTTACAATATAGTATTAAATTTTTCTTTTTCTCCCCTTTTCAAGTCATCATCACTTTGTATGGCTGGTGTTCACGCAGGCGTTGTGTCAAATACTCTGGGTGGCCAAATTAATGTTGTAATCAGCAAGGGCATTCCTTACTATGAAGGCTCCCTGGCTAACAATGTCACCTCAAAAGTGTAAGTGTACTTCTGATGTTCTTCTTATCTTTAGCACTTCAGATCTTGGTAGTGTCTCATCGTGGGATTAATTTCAGCTCATGGAGCTACATGTTCCATGGACAGGTTCTCTTCTGTGAGATTTTCACAACGCTCTTTTGCTGCAGTGTGATTGTTTTACCAGGTATTTTTTACCTCTAGATCATAAAGATTAATTTTCCAAATTCTGCAAAGAGATTGTATCTTCCAAAATGCATGGCATGACCATAAATTCCTAACGGTCTGTGGAAAAATAATAATTTAACGGCAACTTTTTAGTTGCAGGGAAAGGAGTGTAACTTGTCATTTTATCTCTGGAGTCCAAGGAATGAAAGCAATCCAAGGAGATAGGTTTTTGTTATTTTGATTAGCTTGATTTAAATGGGAAGCATTTTAATGAAGTCTTCCATTTTGCTGGGCAGCTGTGTGTTTGAAAGCCTTTAACTCAGTATCTCAGGACTAGATTTCAGTTGAAAAGGTTTTTGTACTGCAAGCACTGCAACTTGGTGACAGAAAGTGTTACTGTAATGGTGAAGTGCTTGTTTAGGCATATGTGCATACGTTTTAGTGGCAAGCAGACAGACAAGAAAAATAAATTGAAGACAGTTTGTTTCAATTTTCCTCACTGACTACCATAAAAAAAAAAAAAATCTTCTTTTGTTCTCTGCAGGGGGCCGTTATCTACAAGTCTCTTCACGTTTAAGACAAGCGGTAAGCATTCTCACATGTACTACATGTTGATACTTGGTGAAATAGGTGTGCAAGTATTTAATTTCTTAATTTTTGTTCTTGTTAGACTTTTTTTTTTTACTGCATTCGTCAGTAATGTATACTTTAAAATTATTTTACTATCTTGTTTTGATGATGAGTGATACAGTCATGTATAAAGTAAGCCTCACTTATCCACAGAGTGAGGTTCTTTCAGGTTATGTTCTTCTATTACAGTCTAGTTTAAAGTGATTTGACTCCTGTACTTTAAATGTACTGCTAAAGCAGAATTGGGCATTTATGAAGTGTTCTTTATTTGTTCCAACTGTACATTCTAGGTTTTCTCCAGGTTTACTCCTTGCACTTTCCTTGTTGCCTGCTAAGAAAGTGAGCAGAAATCTCCAAATAATTAATCAACTTTCTGCAGCGCCTTTTGCTGTTTTTTTTTTCTCCTGTATTCTTTCAGTTGAATGCCATATAATAAATTACTTGTTTCTCTTGCTCTGGAAAGCATCTCTTGGGTCTTGCTGTGTAAGTTGTGTTACTTCTTGGTTGCCATATTTTTGTTGCATAAATGTGTACCAGGTTTATATGTGATTGCTATAACAAGTATTCCGCATTCTTAAAGCTTTACTATTTTGCATGTTTTTACTTTCTATCAATTATCTGTTTTTCAAATAAATTAGCTGCAGTTTTCTAAATGGAAGCCAGCTTTTCTCTAAGTCACTTTAAATGCCATCTTTGAGTGGATGTTGGAAGCATTATGAAAGATGGTGGCCTTTCCTTAGTCTCTTTAACTGTTTTAATAACAATATTTAAAAAAACCCAAACCTAAAAAAAGTCTGATGTCTGTTTTCTGTAAGGATAAAGTTAAAAACAGAAACAAAAAAAAAAAGAGAGGGGGTGGGAATAATACACATACTCCTTACATATGTAAAAGCGATGCTGAATGGGGATATAAAGGCAGGAATTTGATGGGCACATGGAAATGTATACAAATAAGCAAAAATTAGAAAATATAATTCACATTATATAAAAATAATTTCTCTCCCAGACCTCTGCAAGGGCTGGAAGAAGAAATTGCATGTCTGGTGACCTTATGCATGGAGAATATTAAACACGGTGATTGAGGGAGGGTTTGTTGGGGGTTTTTGTCTTTCAAAATGTGGTCTGCTAGTGTATATGAAAGTAATTAAATGGCCAGGAAGTATGAAGAGATAGGAGAAAATGCTGATCTAGACTATCGATTTCAGGGACACATATGAGAAATTATTGAATAAGCTAGAGACAAGATGCAGGTCTAAATTAAAATGTATGTAGTTGGGTGGCCTAGGACTTAGCTGAAGGAAAAAGAGGACTGTGTAGTATGCTCAAATGTGGTTTATCAGACTGTGGTGAAGTTACTAGTGTGGTTTTTCCGTAATAGGTGGTTTCATGACATGGTACAAAATATTGGTGTGTTAATGTTAGAGGTGTAGTCAGTGCAGAGGAAGATGAAACTGTTTGTACGGGAAGACCTGGCTGACTTTGAGACTTGAGTAATAAAAATTAATTGAAGAATCACAGAGCAAAAAGTATAAGGTTGTGTATATAGAGACAGACATTTCTGCTTCAAACGGGCAGCATGTTAGATGGAAACAACGGATGAGGGCAAGGATTCGGTTAGTGAAGTGCTGATGTGATCCTGTAGCAGGTGAAGTACGTCCAGTAAAGACAACAAACTGCTAATGCCATCACAGAGGACATTGACAAAGCCTGGTCCAGGGTCCAGCCACACATGGGCTCTGCCCCCTTTGCCTCCCTTGAGGGATGAGCACCCAACCTTGGTGCGGAGGAGGGCTGCAGGGAGAGGGGCAGCTCACAGCAAAGGGGAAGCCTGGCTGGGTGGTTCAGGCTGCTGATGGAAGGCAGAGATTGCTCTCTGCTGATCTGTCCGGGAAATACACCTCTGGAAAGGGAAAGCTGTTGGCACTAGAGAACAAGATTTTAGCAAAGAGAAAATGGATATCAACTAGCCACAAGGAAATTTACCCAGGAATTTAGGAGGTGGTTTTTAGCCATCAGCAGAATGCTGTAAGAAAAGGAAGGGAAGTTGTGGATGCCCCATCCCTGGAAGTGTTCAAGGCCAGGCTGGATGTGGCCTTGAGCAACCTGGTCTAGTGGGAGGTGTCCCTGCCCACGGCAGGGGGGTTGGAACTAGATGATCTTTGAGGTCCCTTCCAACCCTAACCATTCTATGATTCTAAGAAGGGTGACAAAAAAATACAGTTAATTTCAAGAGTGTGTTTGAGGTCAAGGCCGGGATTATGACATGGCTTCCTGCATTCTTTGGTGTATTGTTTGAATTAACATTGTAATACTGAGGTGGGTTTAAAAGCCAAGAAGTTATATAGACACAAAAAAGGAATGAATGATCAAGTAGTCTGTTTCCTATCCCTGCATCAGCCATACATACTATTAAATCATGACAGCTCCCTTCTAGTGCTCCGTGTGGGTGGTGATTGAGAGAATATCCACATTACTCTTGAACAGGCATAAATCATGTAGTACTCAAATCCACAGGGTTGGTTCCAGCATCACTTTTAGAAAGTAGCAGACTGTGTTTTGTTGGTAGTGTTGTAAATTTAGATGGCAGTATAATATTTGTGTGTAAAGGCTTAAACTCCAAGCAGGTAAAATAATTGTGTAACTTGAATTTTCCTTTTGAATCCTCAACTTTTCTGTTGCTTAGGTTGCTATGGGACACTGGGGATGGAATCTGGGGTAATCCCTGATTCCCAGATCACAGCATCATCTGTTCTTGAGTGGTCGGACCAAACAGGACAGGTGAACATTTGGAAACCTGAAAATGCCAGACTAAAAAGGGTTGGTCCTCCTTGGGCTGCATTTATCAGCGATGAACATCAGTGGTTGCAGATTGACTTGAATAAAGAAAAGAGAATAACAGGTAAGTGAATCTAATGTGGCTTTTAAGTGACATGCAGAAAGTTCGGTAACTGACATCCTTTTTTCCAGCACTTGGTCTTAGATATCTAACGTCCAGCTAACATTTAATTACCGTTACAGCAAAGCTGGTTCCATGTCCTAGCTAATGCACTGAGGAGCCTGGAGTTAGTTCAACAGGTGGAGTTTCATGGTAGAAACCACCTCTTCCATCAGAATTTGTTGAAGTGTTTTTCTGTGGGTTTATTGGGTTATCGGTGCTTGCTTTTTCCAGCTGTTTGTCTCCTTGGAGGTGCAAATCCATATCCAGTCAGCTCAGTCCACTGGTACCTCAGGTGCAGGTGTCCTGACTTAGTTTCTGGGTTTTCCCTGCTGCCTGTCACATGTGCAGTGAATTCAATAGTGGAGACAGGAACAGTTGGAGTGCAAAGTGAGATAAGGAGCAGACTAAACCAGTCATTGGCGTGTTTGCAATCTGACTTAAATCAAAAATAAAGTGGCTTTAGGTAGAGTGCTTCATAGAGTCCCAGGCTTTAAGACTATCTTGAAAGGTTTTCCTTTGATGAGTTTGGGTTTGTCTCTCTCTCTCAAATGCACAAGTTGGTCTCTGTAAGCTCAGCTGCACAGGCTGCCATCAGCAGCTTGGCTTCCTGTCGTTAAGCAACTCGGATTTACCAGCAGCCTTTGTTATTACCTCCCTGGGGACTCTTTGGAGTTGACATTACTCCTCTAATTCCTGTGCTAATAAGCTTTTACAAAACAGCTTTCCTATGTGAGTCTTTCCAGGGTGCTTTTCAGTTGGCAGTACAAAAGCAGGGAAGCTGCTTTTTTGGTGCTGCCTTGGCAGCTGGAGACAAGAGCAGGCCATGGTCAAATGAAGAGGCCCTTTCCATCAAGAAATGGGGGGAAAGTGCTTAGCAAGGTTATATCTAGTGAGAATTAAAATATAAAAGTAAGTGAAATTATTATTAAGTTCCAGTCACTGAAGAAGTGTCCAACCCTGGCACCTTGGATAAACTTTTTGAAATGTAACTGGACCAGTGGAGATTCCAACTAAATATTTCTGGATTCAAAAGCTGATCTAATAATTTTTACAATCTGGTACCAGTTTTTTGTCTAACTGGGCACCTTCATTTTCACAGGTATCATAACTACTGGATCAACCTTAGCAGAGTACTACTATTACGTCTCAGCCTACAGAATTTTATACAGTGATGATGCACAGAAATGGACAGTGTACAGAGAACCTGGCATGGATAAAGATAAGGTAAAAATACCACACGCTTTCTAGGTATGTTCTATGGAGATTTCACAATTGTAAATACAACCAATTGTGGTACGGTGAGGAAGCATTAAATAATTTTCCTTTTCAGTGTAATTTTGGATCATAAAGAGCATTTATGCCAAAAAAGAATAGGAAAATACGTAAGGATATGAACAGTTCTGAAATTCAGAGATGTCTTTATTACTAATTGGGGATGGGAATATTCTCTACAAGAAACTTGCATTGCCAGTGGTAGGCTGTCTGGTACTGTGTCCCTTTAAGAATAGTCAGATTTCTTTCGAAATAGGCTGTATGTTTCAAAATTAAGGTTTACTTTCTTATCCTTTTGTGGTTACATAGTAAATGTTAAGGATTGTATTATTTTCCATCTTTTATAATGTTTTTGCTAAATTTACTTTTTGACAAAATACTGGTATGTTTCTTTCTTGTATAATAAAACAGCCCTTGCAGAGGGGCTTAAAGAATGAAATCATTTCATTCTTAAAAGGTGAAATGGTATGTTCACATTGCAAATGCTTTGCCACATAGAAAAGCTACCTAATATCAGTGGCAAGATAGTATTATTTACCCTGTGTTTACAGTTTTGCAGTATTTAATAGACAGTAAAAATAAGAATTAATGTTCTACCTGGTTTTCCCAGCGGTTCAGTTCAGATCAGATTTTATTAAATGAGAGGTTTCTTGGTAACCTGGCTGGAACTAGAATTTCCTTCTTAAAATTTGTTGATGTAATTTACCTTACTTCCATAGGCCTGTGATATTACATACATGTAATAGTAACTTGTAACCTAGTAACTTTTTAGAAACGAGTCTTAAGAATGGTAACTGTTCAGCTGTACTGGGTTTTCTTCTGTTTACTATGGGTTAAGGATGTTTCAAGGTCAGATGTAGCATCCTACCTTGATGAAGTATCTTGCTTGTTAGATGAAGAGGCTTTTGAACACTGAACATAATCACAGTAGGACACTTTCCTGAGAGGAGGAGGCTTTACTGTCGGGGCTGGTCCATCTCCTTGAACCTACACGTGAACTAACAGACCGTTAGTATGAAGCTTTCAAGGAAAAAAATAATAAATTCAGCATCTTTTGCTAGTTTTTGAGTGCCCTCTCCTGGTCATAAAATAAAATCTCAACTAGTGAGCCACCTAAGATTTAGGCTTCATGTTTAGTTTGATTACTTTCTTAGAAAACTTTTGCAGCTGTGGCCTTTTAATTTGAGCATATTGATTTTCTTGCAAGTTCATGAATTGAAGCAAATTGTGGAGCTTGCAATTACAGGCAACAGATCTGGTTGGGAGTTTTTTGCACTCTTTGTATCATTAGGTGCAATGCACAAAGAACCACATATATTCAGGAAGTGCCAGCTGTACTTAAATGACAGAAGTAACAGTTCACTGTGATCGATCTCTTACACTTAAAAATAGCAGATTTTTCCTCTGACATCATCTCAGCTCTGCTTTTGGATGCAGATGGGTGCGGGCTTCTCCCTTTGAGCCTTATATAATTGCACACCAGACAAACCAGGAGGTGTTATTCCGTCTTCTTTTGAAAAATGTTTGACATTGCTAATGTTGTTCAGGAGAGTAGGAGCTTTTCCATGGCTTTCCTGTTGTCCTCTTTGCAAATAGCTTCTGGAGATCTGTCAGATCTGTCAGGAAAAGCCTTTCTTAAAACTTTGATCTATGAAAAACAGGAATAAAATGCTTGAATTGGGGAAAAAAGACAAATCAAAGTTGCAGTTTTCTTTGACAGCACAGAGGCAAACAGAGACAGTTTGATAATAAATGGAATATGAAAGTTCTCATCAAAATAACTTGCACTGTATTAATCTGAAGCTTTTTTTTTGAGTGAAAAATTAAACTAAAAAAAATAATGAGCTACAGATAAAGTTAAGTTACTATTCTAACACTTGACATCAAAACCTTCACAAATAAAAGCCTGGAGTAAAGAATACTGAGTTAACCTACCAGTGATTTATTTTCCATGCCTAACAAAATTATGGCTCTATTTGATCAGTCACTGCTTTCAAACATGAAGACAATTAATGCCTATGTAAGGACAACCCAAAATTCTTATGTGTAAGGAATAGTAAATGGGGCTTGTGTGTCCTTTGAGAGTGGGGACACATTATATATGTCAGGGAGACCAGATGTGAGTTTGGGGTTTTGGGGGCTTTTGAATGGATAGTTTCCTGGTATCAGTCCTGGAATAATCCCGTCGGGCTATTCTAGTCATTTTGCTACAAAAACTTAAACACAGGAGTGCAACAGAAAAATCTCTGTCTTGTGTATCAAGGTTGAAACACTAGCAATCTGCATTGATCAGAAGTGTGCTAAAAACTCTTGACTGCTCCATTTTATCCGGACTCATGAGCTGTGACTCCATACAGCGCTTGTCTGTAAGAGTGGCAAGGTGTGAGCAGGAGTGTTACGAGTGAGCAGAAAACTCGCTATAATACTTATTTTTCAGGCAGGTGCCATAATGCTGTTCTGCATGATGTCCGGCAGGATTTGCAATACCTGTATCACTGCTTTAAAAGCAATCGTGTTACTCATTTACCTGGCATGATACCAAACCAGCCCTTTTAAAGATGAGGAGGGGATGGTTTGCTGGCTTGGAGCACTGGGCCTAGTTTCTATATTGTTTGAAGCAGCTCAGTGCAAAACCTGTGGTTGGCAGTGAATCTGTCAGTGTGCTTACACTGTGTTACACAGCAACTATCTGCTTACAGGCTTCAAATGTCAAACAGGCAAACCCGGTCTCTGCTGTGAAATGTTGATGAGTTCTTGGTGTGAGGCCCAGCAAGTGAAGGATCAGCTTTAGCTCATCCTTTATGGAAAGTCCGTGCCCTTCTCTTCCAGAACCACAGGGCCCCCTCCACATGGGACACTGAAGAGAGGGCTCATGTTCTGAACATTTTGGTTGTGGTTCAGCCCTTGCAGACACAACCACCAGAGGACGGTGTGATTACACACTTGGCTGTGTCTCTCAATGCTTTCTAATAAATGCCGTACCCCGTCACAGGACAGATGATGCTCAAACTATTAGGCTGGGCAAAGGCACCGCGTCATTTTTGCTTTCGCATTGTCACAACTGGTTGCTATTTGAAGAGTATATATTTGAAGAGTAAGTGGAAAATACCAAAAAAGACTGTTAGAATTCTGCAGCACCGTGAACATGTGAGATGTCTTCACCAGCAGGCATTGCCTGGGCAGCAGCAGCAGAGAACTACATGGTAGCTTTACTCTGAATTAAGTAGTTGTGTGCATACATGTACACACTCCCCCCCCCCCCCCTTTACTTCATTTAGCTATACATTTAATAGGCTTGAGTGAGTGGAGATGTGCAGGCAGCAGCAGCATTCTGGGGTGAATTTTCAGGATTCTGCACCGCTTATTTTTCCTAAATAAAACATCGGCTTGGTTGTAGTTATTTAGTTGCTATTGCATTTGTATAACATGTCTGTATCTTCTTTTTTTTTTTTTTGTCTTTTCTAGATATTTCAAGGGAACACTGAATTGTACCAGGAAGTTCGCAATAATTTCATTCCACCTATTGTTGCACGCTTTTTTAGGATTAACCCCTTAAAATGGCACCAGAAAATTGCAATGAAAGTAGAATTGCTAGGATGTCAGTTTAGTATAGGTAAGGCAACTGAAAATCTTTCAACTGTGCAAGACAAGCAATGAAATAATTTGGCAAAGATTACACTGGAGGTATATTGTCAGTTAAAAAAAAAAAAGAACTTCTTAGTTACATAATCCTTCTGTAACTGATACATCTAAATACATCTGAATTTATTCCAGAGTTATTACACTTAACTTGGAAAATGCCCAATTTAGATGTAAAAAAGGTAATTTAGAAAGTAAGTGTTTCTAAAGACACCAGTGACGTGCTTGCCATGTTATTCATTCATGGGGGTTTTTCCATCATTATATAACATAAACAAAAGCTTTAGAGCAAACTGTTCTGTCTGTCTTCTGAAAAAGAAACGTGGAAAAGTAGCACTTCAAAAAAACTTTTTTTATAAATTCTTTTCTTCTAAAGGGCGTGCTCCTAAAATCACCATGCCACCACCACCGCCTCAGAACAAGAACGACGACAAGAATGATGACTTCAGTGATGACTTCATTCATTCAGTGAAGACTTCGTTGCAGACAGATAAAACAACTTTCACACCTGAAATAAAAAACACCACAGTGACTCCAAGTGTAACCAAAGGTACTCACCATTAAGCAGTAGAAGGGGTTGGGAACTTCTTATAGTACTTTGGTGTACATTAAGTGTGCTTTCTGAATTTAAATTTTCTCAACACAATATAATATTGCAAATGATCAATCTTTTCTTTTTAATATTTAACAGTTATTAAATATACATATGATAAAAAACATACAGTTGCACATTGCATGCAGAAACAATCCCAATCCTCCAAGTCATATATATGTTAAGTTATATATATATGTTAAGTTCTGTCTTTCAAAATTCTTGTTCAGCTTAATTATTGAACAAACTTTGTCAGAAGAAGTTGCAACTTGGACTTCCCCCCGTTATTTAATTTGGTAATTTCTGAGGACAAAACACTTTGAACATAGCTAATCTTTTATGGAGCAGTCATGTTGAGATGACATTCCAAAAACATCATCTGGCACATGATGATCATCATTTTGTTTATCAAATAAAATTGTCATGGATGGAAGGGGACAGCATGGTCTTATGTCACTGGCAGACCCAGTGTTAGGCTGATAGTGATTAACTGTTACAGTCCTGTGGTATTAAGTTCTTATAGGAGGTTCAAACTTAAGTGTCTGCATATAACTGGGCTCTTCTGTTTTCCTTGTCAATAGTAAAATACATTGTTCTAACAGAAAAATCTTACATTGAAACAAATCTGTTGATTTTGATGAAACACCTTGTAAAAACAGCAGCTGTGCATATGTTTAGAAGAGCTAGATGCTAATTGACATTTCCACTATGGGAGCATCCAGCCGGGTGGCGTTGCTGGGGGATCTGGTGTGATAGACGCTATACGTAAAATCTGTGTGTTTTACCCAAGTCATTTTCAAATGAAAAATTGATATATGAAAAGCTCTTCTGTCTGACACCACTTAATTTAATGGCTTTCAGATGTGGCATTGGCAGCAGTTCTGGTTCCAGTTCTGGTGATGGTCTTCACTACTCTGATTCTCATCTTAGTTTGTGCGTGGCATTGGAGAAACCGGTAAATGAATAGATTAATGCAAGTCCTGTAAGTGAATGTTAGCCTGGTGTGTGGGAATGAGATGCTGCATGTGACACTATGGGAACCACACAGTCCGTGCTTGGGGAAGGATTTTTTTCTCTCAGTTGTATTCTCTGTGAGAAAATGTTCACTTGAATAGAGAAAACGGCTTTTTGTAACTGTTGTCATTAGAAGTGCTTTTACTGAAAACTGATTTCTCCAGTAGCAGCAGACTGGTGATGGCAAGCCAGGTTACTGGTGCTTCTACTTTAAATTTGAGGACCAGTTACAGCCAAGGTGATAGTTGCTGAGCTTTAATTAATGCATCGTCCGGTAAGCAGACTAGCTAAAATACCCCCTTTTTCTTTCTTCCACAGCAAGAAAAAAAGTGAGGGCACTTATGATCTGCCTTACTGGGATCGTGCAGGTAACAAAATGGTTTTATGAAAATCCTTTACTTGGCATGTTTGGTTTGATGCATATACTTCAGATTGCAGTCACACAGACAATCCCCACTAGCAGAAGCTTCTCTAGTGCTAACTGATACAGGCATAGTGAATGCTTCATTCTCTGAATTTGTTTACTAAAAAAAAACCCTGAAGCTGTAAACTGTTACAGGAGACATTTCTATTTCTGAAAACAAAGTTCAGAACCTCTTACTTATACAATATGAGGGGAAAAATAATTTATTAGGAATGTTTCGTAATACATTTCATAATCGTGTATCCTGGGAAAACATCTTTTGTCTTAGTGCATAAAGTCTGTCAAATTTTGCCCTTCCTCATTGCCCTAGTAAGCACATGGGATTGTTTGCATCCCCTTTCAGGCATATTTTCCTTCCTACTGTCTTGTGCCCCATTAACGTGGGATCAGGCAATTCCTTCAAGGAGCAGTTAGCAAGTATCCTGAAAACACTTGTGCTACAGTGTAAAGGGCTGCAGCAGCAGCTGGGTTTGTGCTGTCTGTATGACCATGCTTCACTTCTCTGGCCTCATGTTGAAAATTTCCACATATCTGTTTGCTCACATGTATGTCTTATCCTTATTTTTATTTATTATGTGTCTGTTTCTCATAGGTCATAGCACCGTGGTCTTAAAATATTAGACTCAAAAATATCCTGTATGTAAATGTCAATGATGTTCATGCCAGATGTTTTTCCAGTTTGCTTAAATTTATATGTCCAGTATGCAGGTCTGGTTTAAAAGAAAAATGGCAAAATGCAATATGAAAATAATGTTACTGCACTTCTCTGAGGAACCTGTGTCTGTCCCTTCCCACAAGCTACCTCAAATTTTGTTAAACAGCTTTCTGTGGTTTGGAATCTCCAGTTTCCTGGGCTTCACCTACAGGATGGTTTCATACAGCTAGAATGAAATACTTTAATGGCAGCAAAATAGAATTGCTCTGGCTACTGGGGGAAGGGATGGGAACCCAACAAAACCAACCCTCCCTACCTTCTCTCAAGAAAATGTTCATGACCACAGTTACCCCTTTTCATTTCCACTGAAGTTAAAATCCTCTTTATTCATTTTTTTTGCAAATACTCACTGATAACCTTTTTCAACAATGTGAGTTTGAAACATGACAATAACAGCCTGAAACCACACTAATTAAATGTATTCTTTCTACACTGAGTTATATCTGAGACTGTCTAAAATTTTGTGTAAATACTTGATTTACAAATGGGAATTACGGTTGCCTTTTTTCCTATTTTCTGTGTTGTATTTTAGGAGTTTATTCATGTGATAAGTAGCCCCACCACTGCTTCAAAGGAACATTTAGGGTTAGATTTGCTAGACTGCACCAGTTCTGCAGGTGCTTGAAGGGGGAGCATTCAGGCAAGTTGACTGGGAGGCAGTTACATTGTCACCTCTGAATCTTCAGTCTGCCAGAAAATGTTAAAATATCTTGCAACCTTAGGGTCATGCAAATAGTGATAATTGAGTGGTTTACCTACTACTACAAAATACAAGATATGGTGTAAAAATATTTTAGTAGCTTAAAACATAGTATATATGCAGTCTTGGGTGTGGTTTTTTTTTTTATTTAAATCCACATGAAGGATGGTGGAAAGGAATGAAGCAGTTTCTCCCGACCAAATCAGCAGAACATGAAGAAACTCCTGTACGCTACAGCAGCAGTGAAATTAGTCACCTAAGACCAAGAGAAGTCCCAACAATGCTGCAAACAGAGTCTGCAGGTACATTTTACTGTTTTTTTTTTTGTGGGCCATGTAATACATAGATAAATATATATATATCTGATATGCCAAAAAATGTCAGGAATTTGGCTACATTTAATTATTTCCTGTTTGTTTTGGGTAACAGGAGAAATATGACTACTTCTGGTTGGTAAGGGCATTTCTTAAAACACAGGCTTTTACAAATCTGTTTTCAGAGTATCATAAAAGTATGTATTGAGTGACCTGATGTTCTGTGGACAGACGCTTTCCCAAGTTAATGCAGTAACTGAAAGTTTCTTTACTTGGACTTGTTCTTAAACCACGTAAAGGGTTGAAGGATTTTTTTTGGTTATGTTTTCATGCACTGGAAATAATTTCACCCCACTATCTTTATGCACTTTTATTTAATCCATACTGTCATTGTAGGGAACCATTCTTTTGATCTAGAAAAGGAGGAGTTACTGCTATGGGCAGTAACATATGCCCTTTCCTTGGTAAACCAGTCATTAGAGGAAGATGACCGACTACGCCTTCCGTTCTGTGCTTACGTGCTGATGGCAGAAATATGCAGGCGTACAGGAACTAGGGCTTCACAGCAGGCAGAATTACTTTCCTTTTTTTGGCTGCTTGTCTGCTTTTACCCAGCTAGCCAGGTTTCTCACTTCCAGTTTTTGTAACTCAGATTATCTGTTGAATTAAAACATCTCAGCTGACCACGTGCAGGCTTCCTCCCTCAGAAGATAAACCCTCCGCCCCCAAGGACTGCTTTCACTTAGTTTTGATGTTGCAGGAAAGAATGTTTCAAAAAACTTTATTTTGAGGCAGATTTAGAGCATGGGAAACTGCAGCTCACAAGAGAAGAAACAATAAACCTGAGAAATGGGGATGTTGTGGCTGTCCTGATGGCTTTAACAATTGGGTGGAAATGACTTTTTTCCAAAGCAATTGGTACTGGCAGACAGAGACAGACTGCTGGTTTGATCTAAGATAATCACTTCTGTGACACTATTGACAGGTTGTATTTAATGTGATGCCACTGTAAAAAAAAAAAAGAAAATCCATTAAGTGTGGTTTTGTTTTGTTTTGTTGGGCTTTCAACACAGAGTACGCTCAGCCGCTGGTAGGGGGAATTGTGGGCACGCTTCACCAGAGGTCAACCTTTAAACCCGAGGAAGGGAAAGAAGCAAGTTACGCCGATTTGGACCCTTACAATTCACCCATACAAGAAGTTTACCATGCTTATGCTGAACCACTACCTATAACTGGACCAGAGTATGCTACTCCAATAATCATGGACATGTCCAGCCACCCCAGCACACCTCTTGGCGTTCCTTCCATTTCCACCTTCAAATCTGCAGGGAATCAAGTTCCTCCGCTGGTTGGAACTTACAATAAACTCTTATCCAGGACAGACAGTACATCATCAGCACAGGCGCTGTACGATACGCCAAAGGGGCAGCTGGGGCCAGGTGCCACCGACGAATTGGTGTACCAGGTCCCACAGAGCGTGGCCCATTCCACTGGGAGTAAGGATGAACTAAGTTAGCTCACGAGGAAGGTAGAATGATGGCTTGTTTTTAAAAGCCAGGTCCATAAAGCTGACAATTTCATTTTTTAATTGCATTGTTTTGATATTGTTAGTCTTAAATATTACAACGTTCAACCAAAAGGTCTGGGAAACCAGTAATTCTGCCTTTCTTTAAGCTGTACATATAACTGCAGCTTGTCTCCTGCAAAACCGTGGACGTTTTTATTACTACTGTACAATTGTCTGTCAGACATGAGAGAAGAACTCTTCAAGATTAGCTTCAGTAATTCATAGATGTGAATGATAAATTGGGAGAAATAGTTTAAAGTACGAAAGCCAATAATTTCTTGCTAATGGTACTATTTCTGGGGGGGAAAAAACCCTCAAAACCCAAAGCTCCTAACTTTCTAAGATCTATATGTAAGCACTATAGCTTCTAAAATTAATTTTACCCTATACAATGCCTGTACAACTTTGGACTTTAAAAACTACTGTGAGGACTGATGGCAAAAATCCCATTAACTTCATGGCACAAACCAATTTTGATTAGCAAAATCAGCTAAATTGGATTATTTTGGCTTTTGTTCACAGGCTTAGGAGTCATCAGCTATGTGTTCCTCAGAAAGTTCCCACCATTTTTATTAGTCTTCCAAAACTAGAATCTGTTGTCTGTACAATCTTATTTTTTGCCTCATCTCCTTAAGCCACTCAGTCTTGTTCCTCCCTGGGGGTCCAGGAGGCACAGATTGTCATACAAGCAAACTGCGTGGCAACTGCTTTTGTCTTACTAAATGAAGGCTACTCTGAATAGCCTCTGCCTCAAATTCAGACTCCCCTGATGGTCAACGTGCAAGAAGCATCCAGGTGTTTGAGGTGACTGAATTCAGAAAGGTTCACCCTGTCCTCCTGTCCTGTCTCTGCCCCTGTCCCCTGGAGTATCTATTGTTGTGTGTTAAGATGTGAGCATATACAAAGAGAGATATGTATATACTTTTGTGAGTGCTTAAGGAAGCACACAAATATTCTAATGGTGCACAGTTTGTGTTATACACGCATTAGCACATATGGTACGTTTTAGCACAACTGAAAGACTTTAGCCTTAGGGCTTTTCTTATGATTGTTCTTATTAGAAGTGTAAATGATTCCAAAAAATCTTTGCAAGAAAACCAGTACTGTTCCAAAGAATCTCCATTTCAGAAAGGTTTAATGGAATTTGTATCCTTTGAATGTTCCGGTGTTCTCTACTATGAAAACTTTGCAGTCAGTCTTCTATTTGGGATAACGTAGACTAGTTTTAGCTAGATAATCATGAAATGAAAACAATCTGGGTGTTGTATTTGCCATTTTTTATCTTGTTAGAAACAAAGCACAGCTCTTTAACCTAAATATTAGAAAAAAACCCACAATAAAAATGCTTTATTTTTATTGCAACAGCACTGTTGGGAGGATGCTAAATTAATTAATGCATGTGAACTGCCCCCCACCCACATATTAGCCCAGTTTTATGGACTTCAGTGGTTACTCTTTTTTTCTGTGATGTGAGTCAAGTCAGCCTCCTTTATTGCCCAGGATCCTTAAACTAGGTGGAAAACATCCAAATCAAAACTAAAATAATGTTCAAGAGGGCTGCCACCATGTCAGTATGGTATGGTATCCTAACTTACCACTTCAACACTTGTTTGCATGGGGGCTATATGTAAACTCAGTAATCCAAAATTACTTATGGCCTGTTCAACGTCTAGAATATATTATTAGATACTTTGTGATACCTTAAAGCCCAGTTCTACAATTTTTTGATTATTCATTCTCATTCATCGAGAATTTTTTTTTTAATTTTTTTTTTTAGCTGGGTGTCTAACCCTAATTGTGAATGTAAGTAAGGAAGGTCCATGTAAGACTTACTCATGAAAAAGAAATTCCTGCCTCTAGTTGTACTTTGGATGTTACTGCAACTTTTTCTGCTTGATGAAGCTTGCCTGCAATTTTGTAGTTTTGCTTAAACAGGTAAGTAAGTGTTGGAACCCAGCAGCAGCAACTATGAGATTATTTCAATCTGATTTTAACTGAAGGGGTTGGGAGGTTACATCCTTATTCCAGCAAAGTTAAGAAACCTCTGCATTCTCAAACTGAACCAGTTCAGGCTTAGAAAAATTAATCTACCATAAAAATAAATGGATGTCTTCAAGTCAGTAAAATTAACACTCTTGGATATAATTTTTACTGTTGGCTAGGTATGGTGGAACTGTGGATATACTGTAGGCTAAGATGGTGTAAGAATTTTAAGCTTATTTTTTAAGCTGCGACTGGAATGGGTGTTTTTAAGAATTTTAGTCCCTTTTCTGAAAGAAATTGGTCCCAAGCTGTGCTCCCTGCTTTCAACTTTGAACATGTTACCTGCTAGGGCTAAGAAGAAAAGTTTGAATATGTAACGGTTGGGTTTAAAATGTACACTTCAAACTGTTAAACACTGATTCCCAAATGTGAGTTGCATGACACACTTAAGATTAGAATTCTCCTGTGTACAATACAAGCAGAGGTACATTTAATGGCGCTCTCTTACATGTGAAGACATACGGATATAAAATTGTATTTCAATCTTGTTTGGCTTGAGTTATTCTCCCAGAATGTATGTTCTTACCTCAGCATGTATTGTAGTTGCTCAGTATTTGTATATGTTGCTAGAACTTAGACTGTATAAATAGTGAGGATTTTTTATATGTATGTTAAAAAGTATTTTAAATAAATTGTACATACGTATTACTCTGTGTGTTTGCATTTAACACCTACCTTACATCTAATTAATTTGTAGTTTGAAATGCAAGGGTTATTTACAAGTGACCATACTACAACAGAGGTTATGCCCTGCCTCCAGGAGTGACCCTGTACCCTGTCCTTGCAGTCGGGGTATGTAGCAGCCACCCACAGAGGACAGGTTGGTCCCTGCCCCATCTCACCAAGCCTTGGAACTGACACTTACCAGAGCAGTCCTCATGGCTGGAGTCTGCTGCAGGAGCAAGTGGTCTTTAGAGGAGTGAGTTTCCTCTAAATAAGAGGTTTTTTTCCTGGAGTTCCCTGCTGCTGGCAGAACGCTGGCTCTAGAGTTCTCAGTGATGAGAGGCTAAAAGGCACAGCACAGAGCTGCCCTCTGCTCATGTAATGAGAAAGGCTCTGGTTCAGTGTTGTTAGATGCAGAGACAATCCCCTCTCATTCCCCACAGTCAGCACACCACCTCTGTACTGGTAGAGAGGCTGCTAGTTTATTCTTTGACTAGACTAGGGCTATTTTCTAATTATTCTAAACAAAAAAAAAAAAGCTGCTTTTTGCTTTCTGCTGCCTTGCAAAAGAAAAAGAAACGTTATTTTTTCACATGTGTAATGGCAGTACCACACATGAAATAGGCAGGAAGACTCCTACTTACAGTCACATTTCAATGGCAAGAAGAGTAGAACAGCTTTTAAATGTACTGTCCACCTGCTGAACTCATCTAGAGTGACTACACAAACAACTCTATGGTCAAATTACAGTAGAATACCATAGTCTACCTAAAAACAAACTCAAGATTAAATAATGTTGAAACTCAAGATTAAATAATGTTGTGATTCTTTTAGTTTTTCTACCTTTGTATGTGGCTTTAAGCAATATAGAGTCAAAAACAGAACACAATCAAAGGGCAAACTGAAAGGCCACAGGTCAGGGTTTACACTAATACACTGCCACAATACATAAAAATTACTTCTGGACCTTTAAAAAGTCTTGCATTATTTTCTAAGTGCCTGCAGTTTACTTGCCTTGCTCCTGAATGTGCTGCAGCTTCATAAAGCTTTAGTTCTGCAAAAACCAAGCTTTTGGTGAGAAGGGGCTGAGTGCAAGACTCCCTTCTGCTCAGGAAGGCTCCTTCACATTGGACTATTCTAGTACACGAGTCTTTCTGAAACAAAGGCAAAAAATGTTTAATGTTATTACTAAAAAAAAAAGAATCTATGCTTTATATATCAAACATCTGATACACATCTACAACAGCTGATACAAAGGCTTGGGAGGTTAAAATATTCTTTCTGAAGTTATAGAAATAGGTCTATCTCAAGACATTCTATATGTTTACTTTATAACTTCTCCAAAATAGATTCAAAGATTTGGTCTCTACTGCTGTACCTTCAGTAATTGTGTGAAGATGCTTTCTTTCTGCATCACAAAACCAAAGGCAGCCTTGTTACTGACAACAGTGCTTTCTCACTTGAGCCACATCTGACGTAGACCACTTAGATGTTTAAAAGCTGTAATTATTACTAGGAGAAATTACCAAAAAGCAGGACTTTGCAATGAAGTTAACTAAAGCTCTTGTAAGGAAAAACGGTCAGCCTTTGTTTTAGCATCTCACCTGGAAAGCAGGATGTCCATCAGCCGAACTGCCTCCTACTGCTCTGGCTTATTGGCACTTCCATAATTAGTGATCCACTTTCTGCACCTGGGAACTGCCAGAATCCTGCTGAAGCTTCTCCAGGCACAGGGACCACAAGGGCTGAGGGAAAACTGAACCTCACTGCCTGGTCACCTTCCAGCACCAAAGCAGCCCCTCGATGTTGCCACACACTAACTTGGGGACTCAAGAAAAAGGTCTTGTTTGCTCCCACAAAAAGCCTCAGCAGTATTAAAAACCACTACCAATAAACAGTTGCAGTTCTTGCACCAATAATTACTAAATTTCTCATTGAGAAAAAAAAGCAACTTTCAACATTAATCTTATACTGCCTCTTGCACACTGGGAAATTACTTTCTTACCACTTCTGCAGGTTCTTGTTGTACCAGTAGAAGCGCCATTGCCTGCTGTACAGGATACTAGTACAGGTATTCCCCTGGAGAACAGCAACTGCCTGTGGAAGTTTTTGTGTGGAAAAAGTCCTGTTTAGTGAATGTTTTCCCTGTGAAAGTACATTAGCTATTGCCATGTGAGATACCGGGATCTAATAAGTACAAAACATTCTGCAAGTGCGTACACTTCAAAGAATGAAAACTACAGTATGTGGAGAATTTGAGCTGTTGTTTTCTAAAAAGTAGCTGTTTTTTTTTTTTTGTTTCCCCAGAAATCCCTGACTTTGCTGAGCAAGTAAATTGGACCCCAGAGCAGAGCTGTTTTTCTCAGCATGAGCAGTCATGAGTCTGCATTATTTTACTTATACTGGTATACATGTTTTTTTGAGCTGTGAATCAACAGCATCTTTGTCTCACAGTCAAGCCCCTCCACCTTTCAATGCCAAGTTACTAGCTTTAATTTTGTCAGTGTGCAAACACAATAGTACTTGGTTTAAGGAAAAAAAAAATAAAAATCTCACCTTAGACCTCAGTTCTAACTGTAGAGCTTTAGGAGGCTACCAGCAACAATCATGGTAGCAAGTTGCTACCCCACTGTAACCTGAATTATGTAGGTACATGTCGCACAATTTACAATGACCAGGCTGTGAACGGGGGATAGGAAAGGACTGGATCATCCCATAACATCACCTGCAGTTCAGGTGAACAGCTGCCTTTCCACTGAAAGGATATCCATGATTAGACTCTGATTTCTGATAAGGAGGTATAGAGACGTATGGAACGGTTTCTCATATCTTGCTCACATTTTGTAGTGGAATTTCTTTTTTTTTAATTTAATTTTTAAAAAATCATCTGGTGCTCTTCATCACTTAGCATAATGTATGGATAAACTTACCTAAAGTATCTATGTTGGAATGATTTTTCATGTGTTGAAGAAATTCTGAATCCTTCCTTGTGCATCTATAACCTTTTATTCTTTATATTCTTTCTATACTCACTGCTCTGAAGCCTGGTCACAAAGAAATGCATGCTTCTTTTTTTTTGTCTAAAGGGAGGACTTACGCCAACTTTCTTACTACCAAGATGCCTAGCACTTGCACAGGAGAGGAAAAATAATTTGCTAAAATACACCTCCATCTGAGAAGAGCTCAGCTCCCTGCACTGTATTATTAATAATCTAAGGGAAGTGAAATACAGCCTTCTGTCTTTTGTCTCTTTGTGCATGCTCTCCTCCAAAATATTTGCCAGCAGGAGCATAATGGAAGGTTCATAGGTTAGTTCTGTCCGCTCTGAGGAGTACTCAGTTGGGTTTCCTTCACCCAGTCATCTACTTTTTAAAAACAAACAAACAAACAAACCAAACCAACCAAACAAAAAAACCCCAAACCCTAAAATCTGCACTTTTTTTCAAGTTTGGCTAAAATTAGCCCATGGCTTGTGGCAAAGGAGAGGGCACAGCAGATAGACCACACAGAAAGCCTCAATTCCTTCAAGAAATGATAATAAAAAGGATTTGTGAAAGCTCCATAATTAGTCAAGAATTTCCATCAGTGCAAGCGAAGCATAAATGTGAAGCCTCTGTCAAGGCTTCTTTCGAATCTGCTCAGGAAAGGAAAGCAGGTGGGGACAGGCAGAGGAAGAAAGTGCAGTGGAACAAGTGTCACAACACATATGTCTGTATTAATAGTTTGAAAAGCTGGTCACACTCCCTGACCTGCCAATGACTGCAAAACTTTGCAGTCCTGTGGACTAGTGGAATAGTTTAAAAGGTAAACGTCATTTCAACAGTTACGTGACATTTTTAGCTGCCAAAGTCATGAAAAGCTATCTGGTTTGCATTTCATGAACTAAAGAGACAAGAAAAAGAGATTTCCATAGTGATTATTAGCAATAAATAGAAATGGTTACAAAGAAAAGAGAGCAGAGGGAAATTTAAATGATGAGGACCTCTAACATAGCAGGTTTTGCAGTTTTAAGATCAAAAGGCAGACAAGTTTCACACATACTTCCACAAGGCAATAAAGAAAATAATTAAGAGGCTGATGCAAATAAACCAAAAAGGCCAGTGATATTTTATACTCCTTCATACTTCAAAGGGAGAGAAAACAGAACCTTACTTCTAACAGTCATCTCTGTTCTACCACAGTAAACTTAACTTAATTTAAACTTAAAGCTTAAGTAAACTTAATTTAAAGGAAAGATGAAAATTGGACAAACAGCAGGAAAACTCCTCAGTACAAGTAAAAGACTTTAAAACAGGCACAGACTGTCATACAAAAAACACTATAAAGAAACTGACCAGAAAAAATAAGAGCAAATGTCTTTTACAATTATCTATGATTATCTACATTTCAAATTCTACCATTCAAGCCAAGAAAGAATGTTGTAAAGATGACACGTAGACTCTGTGGAGAGGAGCAGACAGGCACCACCACAGCACGTGAGAGGCAGAGATGCATCCTGTGGGCTAGAGAGTGCGAAACCCAGGCAGCCCTAAAACCAAACAGCCGCCTGAACCACGCTGACACCTACACCACAGGAACACATGTGGTATCTTTACTTGGTTTGCCTTAACTCTGATTCTCTCCTTTTTAAGTTGCTCTATTTTGGTTTTTTTTGTTTGGTTTTTTTTGTTTTTTTTTTTTTAAATTGAAAAGCCTTTCTTTTCTTTTGGGAGCTCATTGTAAGTAGAGGTCCAGGGAAATCTATCTCAATCTATCCCTGCAGAGGATCCCATCACAAACCGATGTAATTTGCATGGGAACTGAAACAGGAATGGATAATTTACATTTACTGCAGCCTAGCAAATAACAGTACCTTAAACAGGAGCACATACAGACATGAAAATAGTACCTGTCTTGAACTTGTCTTTGATGTATTGTTCAATCTCACGACACAGCAGTGAAAATTTCTGATTCACAGGCCTCTTGCTGAGATTCAAGATTTGTTT